CATTCAAAATGGTTAGGATAGATATACAGTTACATTCTCTTAATGAATAGAGGGATTTGTTGTAATAGTGTTTGTAAATAGGATGTCATGTCTGCATCTTGTACAGCAAATAACCACTAGGAAGAGAGTATGCAATGTGTTAATTATTGAAACTGTCATACCAATTCAATTTGAAACTGTCTCATTGCTATTTGTTTCTCAATAAAATTATGGAAAAAAGTATTATTGCTTATCTTAATATGCGACATCTATAATATTGTCTTTACATTTTTATAACCCACAGTGATATACCATAGGACAATTTATAGCACAAAGAAGGGCGCAGGAAACAGCAGAGCCATCATATGTTAGCAGCATTAAGGTTCACTATGAAACTGAAGTAGCTTGCTGCAAGTTGAAGAAGCATACTGCAATCTCCAGAACAAACCACTAAAAAAACAACTCAAAAAATGTAGCTAAAGAAGAAAAAAGAAAAAAAATCAACAGAGTTTTTTAGCCTTTGCTCACTCTGGCCTGGTCACATGCCCTAGCTGTCTCCTTTCCCAGCAATCTCACCCTTGGCTTAGGTGAAACATTTGCAAGGAGGAGTCTCCCCTAAGCACCTTACAGTGAGACCCCTGGCCCTCAGCTCTGCTTCCACAGTGGTGCTTATTACCATGGGAAATTTAAGGATTTGTCCAACAGCTTCTTTAGCATTTTCTCTCATGAGAACCCATTATAAAGGCTTCTTTTTCTTTAGGTGCTCTCTCCCCTCTCCTTTTCCTCCTCTCTCTCTCTCTCTCTCTCTCTCTCTCTCTCTCTCTCTCTCGCTCGTGTGTGTGTGTGTGATATGAAGATCTCATATATCACTTTGTGCCTTACATGTAATAGGCTAATCACAAAATACTTGTTTTCAAAATGCATATCAGTGCCTTTTACCTTGACCTGATCTTTTTTTCTCATTAACTATACCAGGGGTTGGTAACCATTTCTGAAAAGAGTCAGATAGTAAATATTTTAGGCTTTGTAGGATATACACAAGGTTGCAAATTCTGTACAGTACTTATTTATTTTGAGGCACTGGGACTGAAACCAAAGCTGTCACACTGAGTTACATCTCCACTCCTTTGTAGAATCTTTATTTTGAAACGGTCTCCCAAAGTTGTTTAGGCTGAGCTTGACCTTGTGATCTTTCTGCCTCAGCCTTCCAGAGTGCTGGGATTACAAGAGTGCACCACCATGCCCAACTCATTTTGGTCCTTCCAGCAATCCTTTAAAAAGATGAGCACTACTCTCAGTTGGAGGGCTATGTAAGAACAGGTGAATGGGAAAGAAAAGAAGGAGCTGGCTCACAGGCTCAGTTTCCCTCCCAAGTTATACCACCATCAGCACGCTTAGCCCAACCCTGAGCTATCTAGTTTTGTCCCCTAACACCTAGTACACTAAGAAGCATATAGTAGGTTCTTAGCAAACACAGAACTCAGTTAAATTGATTGGGAGTACAGACAGAAGAGGAATAAAGGTCAGATTGGGTCTGACAGGCATTACAAGAGAGATGCTATGGCCTACAATCCAAGTGAAAGAAGCCAGTGGTTTACAGGTAATGGGACACAAGCTTCTCTTAGTCACAGGCTCTCTCCCATTGTCTTGCAGGTCACAGATCTCTCACCTGTCTACTCATAGCACAGCTGGACAGAGCCAAGGAAAGGAGGGCAGCTGTCCCCAGGGACTGCTCTTGCCCTGTTACTTGGTCTGGGTATGTGGTTCTCTTGCCACCCAGTGTTCCAAAGGCTGCTGGCTTGAAGACAGCATCTTACTCCAGAGGTAACAGTAATGAAGAAAACAGAGAATTACCTACTGAAGTGCTATACATCTAATTCTCATGAAATGGCCAGGAAACCTTCCCGGACAGTTTCTGATTTTGCTGTAGTTCTAACTCCAGAGACAGTAGCTAGCAATAATGAGGGTAGGAAGGCATAAATGCATGGGAAGCTCCACATAATCCATAATCATGGCCACAGCCCCCATCTGGAACATCCAGGATGCCAGAATATTGTACTGTTTCCTGAGAGATTTCAGAGCCTGTGCAGCGGCTTTCCCTAAGGCATTCTTGCTTCTGCAGCTCAAGCAGTCTGAGGTCAGAGCCACCTGCCCTAAGAGGGGGGTGACTCTTCCCTCTAGCATCCCAAAAGCCCAGGATAACTGTCAGCACCTGCCCTGTTGACAGCTGTCTTGCTGGGCCTAGAAGAAAAGAGAGGGAGGCAAAGGAGAGATGCTACTTCATGTCCTGCTTGGTCTTCAACCTCCACAAAGTGGTGCAGCCACCCACAGAATGCTGGCTCTATCTCCAGGCACTTCCGTCCTCCTCTTTCACATCTTGAGATCCCAGAATAATTCACTGCAATGTTCTTTGTCAAGTCTGTGCCACCCCATATTCACCTCCCCATCTTTATGGAAGGAGAAAAAGGAACAAATGGTCCCTTGGGCGTTGTAACCAAGCAAGCAGATGCTTCCAAAGGAAGGTAAGTGGCAGATGCATAACCGCCTGATAGAGGAAAACACATTATCTAACCAAACTTCACTCCAATGTAGCAAGTCCCGCATTTTAGATAAGAAAGAAAGGGTAGAAATAATTTATTTAGGGACAGGCTAGGAGTTAGTGACAGAATAGGAAACAGCATCAAAGTACCCTGATTCATATGAGGCTTGATCTGCCAGAAGAGCCAAGAGTGTGGTCAGTGACACCAGGGAACAAGGAACAAACAGCTAGAGGAGGTGAGGAACAGCAGCGCAGGGAGGGGCATTGTCTGTGCAAATAACTGCTACAACGCCATATTCTTGCCTTTTTCAAATGCATCAAACCAAAGCAAGAATATGATTTAGGGACCCAATTTTTACATGCCTGACCTAGAAAAGCTGAGACAGTAAAAAATACTGGATACATGATAGCATGGAGACAATATTCTGTGGGAAATTCAAAAGCAACAGCAATGAATGTGAACTCTGGATATACTGACAAGAGAGTTTCAGCAACAGTGAGGTGAAAGGGCTTTTACTGCTGGACATTAATGCCAGTGACAGTTTCTTCTTGCTAGTTAGGATGTGCTAAAGTGTGCACACACTCTCCTGACAAGGGTTTATGTGGTGGTGGCCTGGTCCCCAGTGTGGCAGTATTAAGAGATGGTGGAACCTTTAAGAGGCAGAGCCTAGTAGAAAATGGTTAAGTCTCTGGCGATTCAGTCTTAGGAAGAGATTAACATATTTATTTTGGGAGTGAGTTATTATATGAAGTAAGGCCACACTTGGACCCTTCTGCATGTGGCTGGTTCCCTTTTTCTGTGCCATACTGTGACACAGACGAGGGACCTTGAAAAGCTAGGGCCATTTGATCTTAGACTTTTAGCCTCCAAAACTGTGAGCTAAACAAACCTTATTAATAAAGTATCATGCCTCAATCATTATGTCATAGCAACAGAAAACAGACCAATATACCATTAGCCAGAAACAAAAGTGGTAGCAGGAGACATGCATGTTTGCCTCAGATCAGCAGGACCAGCAAAGCCAGTAAACAAAAAGCAGTTTGCCAGGAGGCCTAAGTGTGAAGTTTCTCTTCTACTTGACCCTATAATGGAGATTAAGCTCTTTATGCTGGTATTTCCATGAGACCTGGCAATCGGGAAGGTTCCCTATTATACATCTGATGAAAATACAGCACAGGATGGCTTGTCCTAGAGACCTGAATGAGGTATAGCTGGAGGCACAACTGCACTGAAGATCTTTTTCACTCCAACTCTCTATCTTTGCAAATAACTATTGCAAAGCAATATTCTTGCCTTTTTCAAGCTACTTGGTAGCTCAGTGTATAGTGAGTTACCAAGTAGTTACTCAATACAAAGCCACATAATGGTGATTACTGGGTGACACTGAAAGATTAGGGATGCCCAGTTCCTTCCAACTCTCAGATATCTGGGCATAGAGAATGTCAGTATAGGTTACACTCAGAGGTTTTCTTCCTTCTGATGTTATGGGATTAGGAACTTCTTACTATTTGTTGGTGTGAAGTCACGCTTAAAAAAGGAAAACTATTTTATTCTAACCAAGAAGGCAAGTTTTCTGGAGAAGGACTTCCAAAGTTGGTAGGTATACAGTTTATGCTTTGGGCACATAGTTTACTGAAGTGCAGAGGAAGTTCTATCAGCTTAAACCCACTGCTTCATGCCCACTTGATATAAGAAAGCTCCAATCCTGGGCCCTTAAATTAAGACCAAGCAAAGTGTATACCAAATCACTAAAGAATGAAGGTCTTGGTTATCTTTCAACTGGATACCACTGGTCACTGTTTCATATATAGCAAGGAAATAAATAAAAGAGAATCTAAAGTTTCTATCAAAAGAAAGCTGGACCAATATTAACTGGACTGAGTGATTAATACAACACAACCATTTAAGTAGGGCTACTCTTTAGAAAACAGTGAGAAGGGATGTTGGGGGTACTTTAAAATGCTACTCTACCTTAAGTTATACATTATGTGTTATCAAAGTCATAGCTTTTTCAGGTAGAATGATGATAACCAAATGATCAATGCAAGTATGTTTTGAGTAATTCTGAAAGTTTTGAGACATAATACCAGAAAAATATTTTGAAAGCTTTGTCTGGTAAGATTCCTCTTGCTTGGCAATTAGACGTTTTGGACTTAAATCTTCTGTTGTGAGTGGCTGTTGTGTACATTGTGTAGCTTTACACATTTAGCTGTGCTGCTGGCCCACTATTTGGCAGTCCCCTAGTCATGATGAACACAAAAGTCTCCAAACAGTGCCAGACAGCCCACAAGGTCAATATCACCTTAGTAGCTAAGAATCACTTGTCTAGATATTCTGCCTTTAAGATCACACAATAAATATACATATGCTAAAGTAAAAGTTACCAAATGAGGACACTTAAGCTTCTTATACTGATTATTATATGTCACTTAGAACACTTAAAAATGCATAGTGAAATGCTGATAGCTTAAGTATACTCACTGTGTACAAGAAAACAAAAGTCTTTCCACATCAGCAGTAGAGTGAGTTTTGTAAAGCCTTCTGCATCATATTCCACAACACCTCTAAGTAACAAAAACATACAAACACAAACAGAAAACAACAATAAAAAACAAGATATAAGAAAGATGGAACCAAGTAAAGAACATATTTGTGAGGTCAAGGTTATTGAATTGAATGTGGATTTAAGGCAAATGTGTATTACCACACAAAGGATGTGGGATTCAGAATGACAACATCTAGGTTTAAGCCACAGCTTTATCATTTATTATGTTATGACCTTGGGCAAATACTTATGTTTTGGAGTCACAGTTTCCTTATGTGTGAAACAGATATAATATTTGTAAACTTCACCACACAGTTGTGAAAAAAAAATAAGATGAACTATAAAATGTGAACATTAATTACTAGCTGTGAATAAAAGGACAAATTAAGAACTCAAGTTAGCAGTGACTCATAAAACTAAATGCCCAACGATCAGTAGGTCTCACTTTCACACCCAGTAACAATATCAATAAGTGTGGGGTTATATATTACTTTTCTTCCAAAGTATGTGGCATACTTTCACGTTTGTGTCCCACCCCCTCCCACGGGGTTCAACAAAGAGCAGCAATGTTAGATGTGTGTGCGCTGAGATCAGGGGGCAGAGACACACCTCCAGCAGAATTCTAGTGGGCCTGCCTCATTCACTTCCTGCAACAGGAGAGTTCCTGGGGGAATGATGCCACTGTGATGTGACAAAACTAACTAGACACTGAAGACAGAAGCATCCTCTCCTACAAGGAGGCATTTGATATCCTGGGAGTTTGCTTTCTCCCTGGCCAAATCAGGCCAATTAGACTCCTCATATTGATGAAGAAGGGATAGTTGCAACCCCCCTTGGAAAAGTAAAGGAACAAGGATCCTGAGGGTTAAGTGAGTTGTTCAACAACAGTTAATGCATCATTCAGATCTTTTGCTTTTAGGAAGATCTCAGGTTTGAGCCCAGTCTGAGCAACTTAGTGAAAGCTTGTCTCAAAATATAAAAGGGCTGGAGATGTAGATCTGTACCAACACCCTGGATTCAATCCCCAGTAGTGGAAAACAAAACAAAACAAAAACAACACAGCAACAAAAAACATCTGCCTTCAGTCAACAAAGCTGTGTACCAGTTTCTGTTTCTCTCTATGAATTAACAATTTACTCAGTATTAGAATACTGATATCGAAATGTTTTAGATGATAGTATCTAAATGATAGTATCTGCATCTCATAGCCTTTTATCATGCATATAGTACAGTAATACCGTATAATTAGTAGTGATTACAAATAGGTTACTGTATCATGTGCATACATACACAGATATGTACATTAAAGAGAATATTATTTGAAGGCAAATATACATACAGCTTTCTTGTGCTCAAATGGAACTCTGTAGCCTCTGGGGTGGTGCTCCCCACTTTGCAGGTCACATTATTAGTTTTTCTAATTATATATACTACACATTATCATAATCAAACATTAGAAGATTAACATACCATTTATCAGCCACTGTATCAAAACTATTTTCTCAAAAATGTTCACAAATAAAACTGAAAAAACTTAAGTATTAAAGATTCATGTGAGAGTCATATTGTTTGGATACTGCTATTTCTATTTTGGATAATATAAATAATGAGAAAATTGCTTAATATTATACTGAAGAATCAGAAATTTTGCTTATAACTGTCCTGGAAAACAACTGTCCTGAGGAAACACACAGCATCTCCCACAGAGCCACACCCCAGCAGAAGCCTGTAAGTCCCGGAGAGCATGAAAGGACATGGGCATGGAGCAGCACAGCCTCTAGCAGCCAGAGCAGGACAAACGCAGGGGAGGGCAGCAGCAGGAGGGGCCGCTCCGCAGCTGCACTGCACACTTCCCTTTTTGCTCTCGCACCTTCTTCTAACTCCTCAAGAATGAGTCACTGCTTTTACGTCTAATGTTAGATTTCTTCCCAAATTTGTGTGTTCTTTGGTAGTGCTGTCTTATCAGTCACTCCTTTTCTAGGTGTGTGAATTCCACAGTCTCAAGGCCATCTGTAACAAAACATGTTCCAAATGCCTGCCTGGTTCACTTCTTGACTGCCCTGAGATGACGAGGTGGACGTGATGTGCAAATGAAGAGCTAACGAGGCAGGGATGACCACTACGACTGCTGCATCTGGGCCGACACATGCTTCTGCCACAGCAGAAAACACTTGACTATGTACTAAAGCATGCCTGAAAAATGTCATCCTGGAAGCAATATACCAGAAACAATCACAATGGAAAGGTGAACGTGAGGATTAAGGGCTATCAAGCGCCCACATCATGGTCATCAGCAAGTAGGGGCATCACTGGTACATGGTTGGGACAAAGCAAAACTTACGTGCCAAAGTGACTGAGGAAAGCAGCAATATATTCTCTTCTTTTGTGATACCCTTGAATCACATACTGCACCTAGAATAGGAACCCAAAGTTGAGAATTAGTGCCAAAAAACTTTTTAATGTTGTATAATGAAAAATTTCAGCAATTCAGAGAACTAAAAAGAATAGAAAAATGAATACACATACTCTTACCGTATTCAATAACTATGACTACTTTGCCTCCCTGCTTCATCCAGCCCTCTAGAAGTCTATCAAGCTTACTGAAATATTTCAGAGGAAATGAGACACCGCATGACAGTTCACTCTGAAATGTATGGGTATGTAACTCCAATAAGACATTCTCCTATAGGATTGCAATGTTATTATCATTTACCCAATAAATTTAGCAGTCACTTTCTGGATTACCTAGTACTCCATTATTTTTAAAATTTCCCAGTTATCTAAAAAACATTTTAAACAGTAATACAGAATGAAGGATTAGGGATTTTATTTGTCTGTATACTCTTTAAATCTTTGCATCTAAAATAATAGTAATGATAGCATATCCTTAAGTGTGAGTACATGTACAAATATGTGTGTTCCCACACATGTATAAGTGACATTGACTTTTCAATGTGACTTTTTAAAAACACCTATCTATCTATCTATCTATCTATCTATCTATCTATCTATCTATCTGGTACAGGGTCTCATATGCAGCTCAGATTCATAGGGATCTTCCTGTCTCAGCCTCCCCAGCACTGGGGTTACAGGTGTGTGATACCATGCTTGGTTCCAGGGTGGGCACAACACACTCAGGTTACCAGGACCAAACCTGGGTCCTTGTGCTTGCCAGGCAGGTGCTTAGAGACTGCCAAGCTATCTCCCCAGGCTGTGACTGGTTTCATTGTCTAGTCTCAATTGTCTGATTGCTTCTACCTTTTTTCCTTTACCTTCAGTATGGCCTATAAAGTGGGAATTAGAGCCAAAGGTCCAATTAGATTTGGGTTAAACATTTTTGGCAAGAAGACTCCATTGGTGATGCTCACTTGGGGCTTGCTGTCTTGGTAAGACGATTACAGCCAGACTACTCCATTAGGGGATGCTCCACCTTGCTGTACTGAGTATGCATTATATCTGTACCCTTTTTCCCTTCCCACACCCCCTAGTGAGTAATCTAGGGGTATTTCTCAAAGCATGTGAGGAGTTAGTTCCCCATCAGGTATTCACCTAATCTGTTGGGAGATTCTTCTTTGAATCAACTGTTTATTAGGGGCAGAAACATCATGATTTTCTTTGAAACCTACCATTCTTTTTGCACCTGTCAGCTGTTACTCTCTATAAAAATCGCTGGGGATTTAGCTCAGTGGCACATTGCCTGCCTGGCAAGTGTGAGGGCTAGAGTTCAGTTCCCAATACCCACCCTCCTGAAAATAAATAAAAAATTTTTAAAAGATATTTCATCATTTGGTTTTTCATTTAGTTTTATTGAACTCCTATTAAAAAGGTAAGATAATGCTTAAATCTTTCCTGTTAAAAATTCTAACATTCAGAATAAGTAGTGCTGTATTACAATAGAAACTTTTTATTTTATTTTTCCCTTTATGTTGCCTTGTTATCACTGAATAACAGTTTCCATTTAAAAAATGTGAACTGATTAAACTAAGCGTCGGACAGCCATTTACATACTAGCTTCTAACATGAAAACACATTCCTCACAGTGTCCTCAAAACAGCCAAAAGAGCAGCGGGAAAGACCCCCCAAAAGACCTGTTTACATTGGCTGCAGCCACACTGCATTTCCACAGCTGACAAAAGCTCAAGATAAAGTACTTGGAGTAACCTTGACACAACTGACACTGATGGCTGCGTTGCATGCTTTAAAAGTAAAACAATTTTGTTTACGTAATAAGGGCTTATGTCAATTTACGAAAACAGTGCTTACTTTGCAGGCTCAATGCACGATGAGAAATGTTATTTTCGGAAAAGAAAAACAGATGATAAGTTTGCTTAAGTGGCTTTGTTTAAAAGGGGATGAAAACAGTTCTGTGTACTTGGTTTTAAAAACAGAAAACCATTTTAACAGAAACCCACAACAAAACTGGCTATAAAGATAGATTCCAACGTAATTATGGAAATTCATTTGAAAAGATTGTTCCTAAAAGCAGCCCATACTGTCCTCGTTTGGAGCAAACAGAAGAACACCAATTTGAAAAGACAAGTAAAATTAATGAAGGAGAACCAGATAAGAAAAACTGACTGATTCTTGTATTTCTGGGAAAATGATATTATAATTTTTTTTAGAGGAAAATATATGACTAGAAATTAATCTCAATTGGAGAGCTTGAAAAAGGCTTTTCTTTTCAGTTCTGGAAGACCCAATTTGCATTCTTCTCTGTAATTCTGGGACACAGATTTGAAGGCAGTGCAAAGCCCCGGAATGTAATTAAGAACTCTGCCCTCCGACTGGTCTTGGAGGAGGACAGTGGCTGAGGAATCTGGTCTCATAAGAAGCTGCCACTTTATAAGCGTTAAAGACCCTGGAGTCTAAGCCAGGCCCACAGGCTGCAGAGTTGCCAGGTTTTTGTTTTTCTGGCATTTGAAAAATAATACAGAAGCTTTTGAGATATCATGGTGATTTTAAAATATTTTCTATATAAAAATGAGCTACCTTTTGAATGAGAGAGATAAGCCAAGGTGAACAAGTTAACAGGAACAAGGAAAATAGGACTTCGGGAATCAAATAAACTGAGTCATAGCCCATGTTGGAAATAATTATTGCTTCTGCATTAATATCTCTAGGTTTTGGCTAAAGACACTCCCAGGATGTTACAAGTATATGTTATACTTCTTGGAAATATCTGACATCTACTACTACAGTAAATTCAGTTACTTGTCAGTGTAATGGTTCATTAATACAGCTAAGAGAAAACTTTAGATAGTAATCTGATAGGCAGATATCAGATGGTGGCCAAGGGTGGCTGATACGTGCATGATTACCCTCATCATGGTAAACAGGAGGACCTATCTTACCAGCTGACCTGGAATTCCTGCCTTTAGAAGAAGCACTCAGGCAACTTGCTCCCAGACATGACAGGAAGAATTGAGAACTGATTATTAAAAGTGAGGTACAAAAAAAAAAAAGTGAGGTACAAAACAAAAAACAAAAAACCCGCAAATACCTGAGGGGCTGGGGAGATAGCTCAGTGGAATAAGTGCTTGTGTGGCAAGCACAAGATCCTGAGTCTGATCCCTGGTACCACCAAAAAAACAAACAAATAAACAAACAAAAAAGTGAGGTACAGAAAGGTAGAAAGAAATGAAGATAGTTTTAAAGAACCACACTGATACCAACTAGCAGCAAACACAAGGATAAATGGATGGACACACCAGATAACTGGAAAATAAAAGCGTTCAAAATATTAGAGCTGTAAAGGGATGCAAGATGTAGCAGAAACATGGGGGGGGGGAGTTCACAAAGAGATGACTTAAATCCCCAGGTATAAAGTTAAGAGATGAAGATATGACTGGAACAGGAGATCAGAATCCTTAGAAAATAAAAAAAGATAAAGACATAGAGTGAAAAACAGACGAGTTGTAAGTCAAAGTAGGAAAGGCAGATATCAGAAGGTAGCCAAGGGTGGCTGATAAGTGCACAATTACTCCCATCATGGTAAGACAGGAGGACTTGCTTTTTACCTTGTTGGTGAGCAGGTGGCACACTTGAGGAACATAATCAATGAGACATCCTCCTCCTGGAAAAGCTGGGATGTGGAGAGCTGAAGAGCCTCCCAGAGCACTGAAAGGACAAGAGGACAATGAATACTTCTCTCAGCCCAGGCAACTTAGAAAGTGACATCTCCAGTGCACCTGGCCTCTCTCTTCACAGTCTGGCTGCCATTGCCTTGGACCGACAATGATGGACTATGGGGTTGACTTTATTATTGTATTTCTTTCATTTTATTTTTTGAAAAGTAATACATATGTCATATATAATTATCACATTCACTGTAAGGAATTTGTACTTCTAATTAGCATATCTTAAGTCTCCTTTTTTCCCCATATCCCTCTCTTCTCTTCAACCTTCCCCTTTTCCTCATTTACTAAAGCTTTGTTTGTACTGTTTTCACTTTGTCCTTCCCCTTCCCTCTCCCTTGCTCTCCTCATTTGAACATGTTCTTCCTACTTCCCATTATTTATCCTTTATTATCCTCATTTATCCTTTTGGTTTCTCACACCACAGAAACAATGCATTTTCTGTATTTTAATCCATTCTGTTAAGGATATCATGTACATGCTACCCATCATTGAAAACAACTCAGGATCTTATCACCTAAAAATACAAATTATCAAAGTTTGACGGGCACAGAGATGGGTTACCAATAGTAATGAACCGTATGTATTATTGAAATATTCTTTTAGTCTTCATTATGATGCCTGATTCAATGCAGACAAAGGTAAGGTATTCATTAAGCATAACAACTGAATTAAAGGGAACTGATGCAATCTTATAACAACACATGTAAGAGACTAGTTCTCTAGCTTCTCAGCTCTGTTAGCTTGTATCTCAAGGTATACAAGAAGATATAGTCTAAACAAGTAAGTATAGTCAGTAACTGTTGAACAAAAAGGTATAGTAAGTACCTTTTGATCCAAACACTAAGATACAAGGATAATTCAGAAATAGTTTCCACAACTTTCAGAAGTAAAATTTTTCAGTTTCAGTTAACCAGCATATAATTATTAGAAAAACTATCAAAACTTTACAGCATGCATTTAATTTATCAACCTTAATCTTTTTTTCCTTTTGCCTGTTTTTCTTATTATAATGTATATTTTTCTATAAATCCCTTAAAATCTCCATGTAATATATTTTAAAAGCCTCTAAAATTCCTTTATTCTACGATTATCCATTATCCAAGTCCCCACAATGACAAGGTTGTAAACAAGAGAAAAGTGTGCTAACTGCCTAGAAACACACTCCTGAAGAGGGGAGTCCAGGTTGGCTCTGGCTTGCATTTGTGATACAGGGTACACATCTAAGTACTAAACAGGCTCCACACTCATTCTGTACTGACCACAGAGTTCTAAATTATTTTTCTGGTAAAGATGAACTTTCTGCTTGTTTATGCAGTGAAATTTTCCAACAAACAAAAGCACAGGCGATGTGAGGAAGTCTGTGGAAAGGAAATGTTTGAAGTAAACTTTTTGCTCAGGTGATACCTAAGTACACTCTTATGCTGAGAACATGAATCGGATTACACTACCTTTGACTCAGTGTGACAGGAGCAATTCATCTGCACTTGGCAACTGCACAGGGTCAGCAAGACCACAGTTGCCTTTTGCTAGGGTGAGAGAAGATACTGGATTTGATGTAACTAAACTCTGAAGGTGAGGAAAATTCACATGGCTTTCTATGGACCCAAGGCAGGCTTTCTGTCCTCTACATGCAGGAAGTATACAGAAAACAAACATCTCATCAAAAGGTTCTTAGGGTTTTGTCAAAATGGAAAACTGCTCAAAAAGATATGGACAATGGGCTGGCCAGATAGTTCAGTGGACTTAAGTGCTGCTTCAGCAGAGTGCAGGAGCAGGGGTTCGATCCCTACCATGCTGTGCTAGCCCCACCTTCAGAGCATGCTGAGATAGCAATTGAGACTGGGCCTGGTGGTGTGATCCTGTAATCCCAGTGCTTGGGAGGCAGAACACAGGAGGATCACTATGAATCTGATCTCCATAGTAAAAGCCTGTAAACTCTGTCCTAAATTCATTAAAAAAAAAAAAAAAAGATATGGACAAGAAAAATAAATCCATTTATATCTCTTATAGTGACTGGTTAAATATCTGTATAATATGAACAAAGCCAGGCTCTAGACTGCTCATATCTTTATTTTAAGGAAAAAATTCTTGGTATTACAACACCCCCTGCCAACAGATGAACTCTGATTTATATAAAATATGGACTAAGCTTTTAATCATTGTTAATTTACATACAAAGAAGGGAAACGGTCGATGGGCAACTCTCTGAACTTTACTTCTGCTCCCCCACTTCTAGACCTTTTTCTGTTGAAGTTATGTCAGTTGAAAACACAGCCATGAAATGAAAATTACTATTATGAAGGGAAAAGGCAGAGGTGTGAAAAAATCCAAAGCCTAGCTATAATATTTGGCCTGCCAGATCATGTTTCTTTTTTCCTTCCTTCCTTCCATTTTTCTTTTTAAAAAAATTTTTAATTTTAAAACACTTTCTTAAATTTATTTATTTTTAAGTGTAACACAAGGAAGGTGTTAAAACTGACGTAGGGCTAGGGAGATGGCTCAGTAGAATAAGTGCTTCCTGGCAAGCACAAGGTCCTGAGTTCAATCCCCAGTTCCACAATAAATAAATAAATAAATAAATAAAAACTGGGGTAATAGCTCAATAGAATAAAATTTCCAGATTCTGGGAGGGAGAAAGGAGATATTCAGAACCCTTTACCAGAATCCCCCAGCTTGATCATAGTGGATTAAGAATATGTTTTGTTTAAAGTGCCTGCAAGCAGGCACAGGGGCCAGGGGTTATCCCTGGGCTTGCCATGCTGGCCCCACCCCTGGGGTGTGCTGAGATGGCGAATGAGACTGGGCGTGGTGGCATGTGCCTGTAATCCCAGTTCTTGAGAGGCTGTAAATAGGCGGATCACTACAAGTCCGATCTAACAGTGAGACCCTGAGCACCCTGTAGACCCTTCCAAGAATGTTTTGTGACATGGTTAGTCAATAACACCAGCCTGAGGGATCTTTTTTCTGCACCAAACCCTTTGAGTTATCTGGTAGCCTTGACTGACAACGATTAGGAGAGGAGCACTGGCATTATCCAGGGTGATGTTCTTCAAGTGACTGACCAACTGATCAGGTTGAGGGGCTGCCACAGCCTTGGGGCTCTTGCAAACTCATAAAAACATTATAGGCACTGCACTTGACTGTGCTGGTTAAGAATCACTGAGAACTCCACCTCATCTCCTGCCAGTAGCTCAATGCCATCTGCTTCTTGATTATTAAGAATTAACGTGTGCTGTTAACTGCTTTAACGTATTACCTAACTTAAGCCACCTCATATTTCAGTGAGGTGGCAATTATTGTAATTTTACAGGTGAGGAAATCAAGGTTTGGAGAGAAGGGTAAATTGGCTGAGGTTTGCAGAACAAGTTGGTAGTAAAACCAAGACAGGACACGGGTCTGTCTGCCAAGCATCACAGCCTGTGCCTGTCTCCACCCCCACCCCCGAAATAGGCTGCCTCCCTAAGAGAAGGAGGATTTGGAGTGGGGGCAGTGCTGGGGATTGAACCCAGGCCTCATGTGTGCTAGCCAAGTGCTCTGCCACTGAGCTGTACCCTCAGCCTCAGGCTTCTAGTCTGCTGGGTCAGGACCCCACGGAGGATAAAGGGTTCCCCGAAGCCATGGCTAAAGCAGATGCTGTGATGCACAGTTCACCTCCTTTTGCAGCCCTCTGCACGGCAGCCAGGCAGGTACTGACCTTCATGGTTTTCCTCCCTTAGTAGTGCCCCCACCCGCCACTGGATTCTCTCAATCATGGATGTGGTGAGCCAGTCACTCCACATGGATGTGGCTACATCTGAATGACTTTTGTGGCTGTGCATTGGAAGCCTCAATGCATGAGGCTCTTCAGTACTGTGAAAGATGGTTTGGCTGAGTTTATTGTTTGAGGTATGCTTATTTCACCTTTTGTCTAACAGTAGTTTCTAGTTTGTAAGGGTATACAACCCAATATCCAGTGTCACACACTGATAAGTGCTTCTGATTCATGCATAAATATCCACCTCATGGGTAAATATTTAACAAGTTAGCTATAGCCCGAATGCTGCCCTCATTATGCTGAATAAACAAAGTCAAGTGTCATGATATAAAAGAGCCATTATATATTTAGAGGGTGGAAGGTAGAGCTAAGGCCTTGTGATGTCTAATTATTTCATATTAATGAATCAAAAATTCTTGGGCTGAGCATGTACATCAGAAAACTCACCCTGTGCGGAGACCTCAGAGCTTGCTCCGATAGCCCCAGGAGTGCAGGGCTCAGGAGGGAGAAGGAAGAGGGAGAAGGCAGGCCCCAACTGGCCTCTGTGGTAATTGGGCTGGGCCTGGGGCTGGGCAGGGGTGAGGAGGAGATGAACGGAGCCACTGGTGCTGCTGCTTCTGATCTTTAAAGCAGGGAAAGAGAAAGCAGGGGCAAGAAGCTGAGGAAAGTAATCAGTCGGCAGGTGAAACCAGAGGGGAAAGGGGAAAAGAAGCTGTTTTGATGAGAGAGTAACTTCTATTTCCCCATGGACTACAATGAAATATAAAATCAGCTGATAATTCTTAGAACTCAAAACCAATTCTGGGGGTATAAATGAGAAAGATAAGGTCAGAGTTTGAAAATCCTTTCCATCAATGGGGTTAAAAAACTAGATGAAAAGGTAACCAGGAAAGCACTTCTGGCTCCTTTGGGTCTCACTGGTTCTACAAGATAACTTAAGAATGGTCTCTATTGAAGGTATTAATGCATTCTTTTCCATGCAGATGAAGTTAATGGAGCCATTTGTGAAATCTCTGCCTACAAGCACTGATAACCTCTAATATTTAAGACTCAACTTGACTGCAGCCTGATAGCACTGGGGAATTATCATTGAATATTTAGACATGGAAAAATGTCTAAATATTCAATATCAGCATTATCCTACCTGAAAGCCTGACCAAACAGTGGGTTTGACTTTGACCCATCACAAAACAGCAATTTCCCAACTAAAATGAGGAAAGCATGAC